CAGAATGTCGACAGGATCATCAAGGACTTCTCTAATGACCGACAGCAGTACATTGGCGCTCACTTGTTCTTCACCGAAGGTGCGTTCGCGTTATCTTAGAAGCTCCAAGTACTGTGAACCGATTCTTGCCCAGGCCTCCCCGAACCTTTGTTCGAACGTCTGACTTCCTCCCCTGCGGAGCCGTTCCTTCGTGGTTTGCAAGAGCTCTTTATCAACTTCTGGGGTAAGTAACACCTCAAACCCAAACTTTGTGAGGCTTTGTGTTGATTAGGTGCCTCCTTTCGTGCACAGCGGTGGAAGCACAGACTTTTTCTCTCAATTCCCCCGGTCTCTTCTTCAACATCTACAGCCCGCCTCGGAACGACGCTTCGTTTAAGACAGCGCGATCCTGCCTTGAGGAAGAACTCCGCTTCGTCAGCAAGACTGTACGTTCTGTCGCGGTCATATCGCTTCCTTTGATGGACGTGCCACTGGAACTAAGCTGTGACACGCACAGATAACGAACCTGTGTATCACCATGAATGAATTTCCATACATCCGGTATCACCTCCCGACCCACCACCTTCCGTTGGGTCCTCTCCAGCCCCATGCGCAGACCCGAGCACCCCCACCTACTGAAGGAAGCGGTCGATGGCGGACAAACCTTGCGCGAGGTGATGTGGCACGTGCGTATGAGGCTGCAGATACGGAGTTCGTCACGAAGCTATTGGCGTTTATGGTGCAGCAGAACCTGGATGAGCATAAGCGTGTCAACCCCGATTTTCCTGTAAGCATTTCTCGTCGTAGTGTGACAACGTCTTATCGTGATGCGGATAAGAAACCTTCGGATCCACCACGACCAAGGGGTACACTTATTATCACTGATCGTGCGATGGACGCGGTCGCACCCCTCATTCACGAGTTCACGTACCAAGCGATGTGTAATGACTTGTTACCAATAGAGGACGGAACGAAATATACGTATGTCTATACCCTCCGAGCTTAACAACCGACGCTTACTGTTGTGATATCAGATACAAGTTCCAGTCTTCCCTCGGCACATTCGAAGACAAGACAGCCACACTCTCCGACGCGGATACAGTATGGACGACTGTTCGGCATATGCATATGCGAGAAGCTATCGATAAGTTGATGGCGGACTTTAATAAATTCATGGAAGAGAACGCTGGGTTCAAGGGGTATGCTCAATTGCATATGTTCATATCCGTCGGCGCTGACTACTGACGTTTTTACAGAGAGGGTGCTGCCAGTCTGAATGATATGAAGGATATGTTAGCAAACCTACCTCAATATCAGGAACAGCGGGAGAAGGTATGTGCTCGTTTCGCTATTGAGGTGTGCAAATCGACGGAGTTGCGACAGTTCTCATTACATCTCAACATGGCTCAAGAATGCATGACTATCTTCGAAAAGGATAAGCTTTCACTGGTTGCCAATGTTGAGCAGGTGTGTCTCCTTTCCTTCTGTATTTGCATCATGTGGAATGGTTCATATCCAGTGCTGCGCGACTGGGTTAACCGCTGAGGGTAAATCACCGAAAACTCTCGTTGAGGAGATGGTACCACTTCTAGACAACCGGGATATCATGTAAGCTTCTAGGTCACTTTCTGATGTGGCCTGCTTGTCGACGATCACTGATTTATCCAGAAACCCCAACAAAGTTCGCATGGTTGCTCTCTATATCATGTACCGCGACGGTGTCCCAGACGAAGATCGCCGACGGCTGTATCAGCATGCCAGACTGAGCATGCCAGAACAGGATGCTGTCAACTCATTGCTGCATCTCGGCATGCGAATAACAAGAGTGAGTGTGTTCGATTTTAGCTCCGCTCCGCCCATCTTCACTGACGGAGTTGCGCGTATCACAGGGCCCTACGGATAAGGACACGAAGAAGAAGCTCAAGCAGAAATCATCTCAAGAAGAAGAGTACGAACTGTCTCGATACAAACCACTCCTCCGCACAGTCGTCGAAGTACGTATTCCTTTCTCTTCTTCTTGCGCATCATTTATCGCGTAACCAAACCATTTCGTCGACTCTTAGGACCACGTGAACAACAAACTCGATACATCTCTCTTCCCCTATGTCAAAGACGCGCCCTCTGCAACAACTACATCTGCAAGCAGCCGCCCCCCATCAACACCCACGACCTCCTTGCGGAGCGCAAAGCCAAGCTGGCACAAAGCGGTGCGATTGAATGCGCCTGTCGATAGCCGCCAGCGTGTTATCGTGTTTGTGGCAGGTGGGATGACGTGCTCCGAGATTCGGGAGTGTTATGCATTGAGTGGGTCTCTGAACAAAGATATCTATATTGGTGCGTAAAACCCTCCCACCGATCCGAGTCTGTATAATGCGTAGCATGAGCGAGGTGCTGAGTCTCCTGGGGAAATAAACAGGGTCAACGCATACAATCACTCCCCGCCAATTTATCGATGACCTGAAAGTTCTCGAGCTTGGCGGTGTAGGATCCCGCGCCATTCCCAACGGAATCTCCCTGAACGCAGCTCACCAGTCCTACCAAGACTACTACGATGAGAAATACTTCACGCCTGACCCACCCTCGCCGCAGCGCCAAACTCTCACTGTGCAAAAGGACATCGGTTCGTCCTTCCGCAGTGGCAAGTTGTCGAAGCCCAGTCCGAGCTCGCCGTATGCTGTTAGCTCGACATCGGTAAATAGCTTTGGGACCGCGGGTGAGAAGGAGGAGAAGAAGAAAAAGAAGAAGGGGTTGTTCCATTTCTGACGCCCTTGTTCTTTTCTTCCTTCGTTTCCCTGTCCTTCACTCCGTATTGCGTCGCTTCTTTTTGTCACTTTTCGTCACTCCGATTTTGAAGCAAACCCTTATGTTCTAGCTTACTCCTCCCATCTCTGTGTTGCTCTGCAGTCAGTTCACGGTTCCCAAGTAGAAGTGGCCTAAATGCAAGTGACCTCTAAACGCGTGTGTATATTATTATATTGGGTATTGCATTTTGTTATGCATGGAAATGAAACTGAGGCAGAGAAAGAACGGAGGCACATCAGAGCTGTTGTGGCAAAAAGCCGAGAGTAGTAGCAGCTAGCTCCTGTCAGCACGAGGGTGACTTGCACGTTGTTACTTGCTAACTTGGCGGTGACCCCACAGCAACTTCATCGAGTCTCGACGAATAAACGACGAATCGCAAGCAAATCCAGTGCAAACATGAGTGTAGAATACGGTATGATACATGCGTCGGTGCGGGCGTGTGTCATGTAGAGTACTCCAATTTGGCTGTGAAACCAAAGGTGCAAGTTGACGGTTGGGATGAGAATAATGAAAAGAAGCGTGGCATTGAACGACGTACTCTCATGTTTCTTAGCGTCGCTGACCTTGCGTGCAGCTTTGGTGAGATCTTCTTGGACGATGTATTCGCTGGTGGATTGATGACAAGTAGGCCAGGTAGGAATCGATGGAGGAGGACAAGAACATACCGGTCATCCCGAATGGCGAACATCCCTGCCTCTGTGACAACATTCCGCAAATCAGCCCCATTGAAGCTATCTGTGAGCTAGAAGCAACCGCGTTCAGGTGCACAGAATATCTGTGCACATGGGTCAAATACCTTCACAATAGCCTCGTAGTCAATATCCCCACTCTTGTTCACAGGTTGAGCATGAATTTTGAGAATTTCTAGTCGTGCCTGTTCGTTCGGAAGGGGGATTTCAATTTTACGATCTAGGCGACCGGGTCGTAGCAGGGCGGGGTCCAGGGTGTCAGGTCTGTTTGTGGCCATGATGAGCTTCGTGCGTCCTAATGAATCGAACCCATCCATCTGATTGAGCAGCTAAGGAACATGCTTAATATGAGCTCCAGCAACAGTGCAGGGACAGATACTTACCTCCATTAAAGTTCTCTGGATTTCTCTATCTGCACTCGTCCCTTCCGAAAACCTCCTCCCCCCAATTGCATCAATCTCGTCCATGAAGATGACGCAAGGTTCGTGATCCTTGGCGTATCCGAACATCTCGCGTACGACTCGGGCTGATTCACCGATATACTTGTCGACAATGGCAGATGAGACCACTTTCAGGAAGTTGGTTTGCAGGGTGGCTGCTACGGCGCGGGCGAGGAGGGTTTTTCCAGTTCCAGGGGGTCCATAGAGAAGGACTCCTTTGGGGGGTTTGATACCTACACGGAGGAAGAGCTCGGGATTGAGGAGGGGTAGTTCGATTACCTAGTTGAGAACAAGCATGTCAGCAACAAATACTAGCAGGCAAATGCGCCTTCACGACACACCTCACGCAATTCGCGGACTTGTTCACCGAGACCACCGATACCTGCAAATGAAGCTCCTCCTGGATCTTCCAAGCTCATTTTGTAGACCATAGGGTCGACTTCTCGTGGTAGGATGCGCATGATCGTGAGCGTTGTCATGTCAAGGGATACGCGGGTTCCTGACTTGAGCTTTGCTGCTGAGAGTGCTGGGCGGTATGAAACTACGTATCGGGGACCAGAAGATGCTTTGACGATGACTGGGGGGAAAATACGTGTGAGAGGACGTCATGAGACATGGGAGTAGACTGCTGGTACATCTTTCGTCGTCGAGCTGCTTCATGACTTCACCGATGATCTGACCGACTGACTGGACGGCCTTGATATCATTCTCGGTTTGTGCAAAATTCTTCTCGAGGTCTTTCAACGAGAATCGCACTACATGACATGCATTAGGTCAAAGGCTCGTTTAAACGCGTGCATTATTGACTGACGATTCTTCAAGCTCTGGCTGATATTGTCATGGGTCCGCATTTTCTGTGGGGTAACATCAGTTATGCAAGCACCGCAACGGCCAAGTAATACACACCTCGCGATAGGTCTTGAGAGCGTCCTTCCTTCGTTGGTCCATTGCGCCTGACGACGTCGAAGCTTGTGCGTCCATAGTGGTGGTTGGTGGCGAAGATGATGATAACTTGCGCGAAAGGAGGGACGCGTCAGTGGACGTGATCAAGTGGGATTATATAGTTATACATAGCGAACCACTTCCCATCGGCCTGGTGGTCTAGTAGTATGATTCCTTGTTAGGGTTGCTTACCTAATACTCGAGGAGGTCCCGGGTTCAATTCCCGGCCAGGCCCACTGCTTTTTGTTATTTTCACTGTTGTTCCTAAGCGCTTGGTTTCGTTTTGACTAGTCATCACTCAGCCTGGTACTGGGAGGTCTCTAGCGTACAATCGCATTGAGCACGACGTAGACACCAACTGAGCTGGATTATTATAAATCGGCACTCGTCTGTCACCCCTTGACCACTTCTACCATCACCTCCCATACTAGCACCAGTCATGGGTCGCAGAAAACGCCAATTCCTGGACGATGGCGACTCTGACTCCGATGCTTCACAAGGCTCGGAAGCTGACTTACGATTAAACGACAACGACCCAGACGCCAGAGACGAACGTGCACTTTTCGAAGACCCTTACCAGAACAAGAGAAGGCGAAAGAATGAGAAAGAGGACGCTATCTACGGTGTATTCGGAGAGGACAGCGACGAGGGGGGATATGGCACAAAGGGTGGGGCAAGGCGCGAGCGAAGTGATTGGACAAAGGCGCCTGCGTTCGTGTCGGGGAAGAAGGTCGATTTGCATAAGGAGATGGACGATGACTTGGAAGCAGCTGAGGAGGCTGAAGTTGAGGACAGTTCAGCGGAAGAGGCCCAGGACGAAGAAGAAGAGGGGACTGGATCAGACAACGAGCATGGAGAGGATCGTGCAAGCTCTGGGCCCTCCCGACTGCCTTCCCCGCGTGTGCGCGAAGTAGAACAAGACGATGACGAACCGCCAGCTAGACCAAGGTTCGGTGGTATAGGCTCGGCGCATACAACAACTGCTGAATCTTTCTCTGCGTTCACTCAAGGTGGCATAGGTTCTGCAAAGGGTGGCATAGGTTCGGGAAAAGGTGGGATTGGATTGTCCTCCTTCATAAGAAGTTCAGGAGGTGGGATTGGGTTCACCAAAGGTGTGATTGGGTCGAGTTCCATTGATACGACTACGACCACGACGACCGCTGCGACCATAACCACCGTGGACACTGCACCGGAACCAACCATTGTCGCTCCCTCCCCGACGGAGCCAGCCCTCGTCTCCGATCTTCCCACTTCGTTCGGTGCTGCCCCCCACACGCAGCGTGCCTTCCTTCGCAGCGGCTCCTCCTCTGGCCCTACTTCCCAACGCAACACTCCCCTTCCTGCTCGCGAGCAGGCTCACTTCCATAAAATAGGAAGCACCATTGGAGCCCAAATGCTTGCCAAGATGGGGTGGCAAGCCGGTACCGGTCTGGGCGCAAGTGGGGAAGGCATCGTCATTCCCATTGAGAGCAAGCTGAGGCCAAAGAATGTGGGTATTGCGTATAAGGGGTTCAAGGAGAAGACGGAACAATCGAAACTGGAGGCCAGGAGGAGGGGAGAACTTGTCAGTGATGATGAGGAGCTACCTGCTGCTGTGAGGAAGGCGAAAGAGGCAAAGGAGAAACGGTCGGATGCGTGGAAGAAGCCAAGAAAGATAAAGACAAAAGTGGAGCACAAGACGTACGAACAGATTGTAGCGGAAGCTGGACAAGAGCCCTCGGCCCCCAGCCTTGGACAAATCATTGATGCAACGGGGCGGACGGTAAGTACCAAGGTATCTCCGCTCTTTCTGTTGCTGATGCATTGGCCCTTAGCCGCGCGAGGTGGCATCATTAGCCGAAATTTCCATGGCGTCATGGACACCGTCAACGGACCCCACTCGAATACCAGAAGTCCGGCATAACCTCCGACTCATCGCAGAGGTTTGCAAGACAGACCTCGACGGTCTCGCACGTGAAGCCAAGGCCCTTGAAGATCGCAAGCGATTTATTGCTCAAGAAAATGTTCGACTACGGAAGGAGGTCGCAGACGAGGCTGAACGTATGTGTTTCGGGCCATTTGAGTCGGGCGAATTTGTCTGACCGGAGTCTTCACGCAGTAATTTCGCGACTTCAGCAAGTGACGCTTGTGGTGGACGAGATACACGCCAAGTCTAGGGAGCTAGCCTCAGTGTATGAGGCCACGCTGGACGACTTATCGCCACTGTTCTCCAAGCTGCTCGTTCAATTCCCCACTGAATTCGATAAATACCGGTTAGACGAGATTGTCGTCGCAGCCATTGCACCAATAGTCCGACGCATAGTGGCACAATGGAACCCTCTCCAAGACCCCTTCGCCCTCGTCTCTACGTTCCGCACTTGGAAACAAGCCCTTAAAGTTAACCTTGTCGCACAGCCCCCACAAACCCAAATTGACTTATACGGCGCTCGAACCGTCGCCCCACCCCCCATCATTGAGAAACCCATGACACCTTTCGAGTCTCTCCTCTGGCACGTCTGGCTCCCCAAAGTGCGTACATCCATCAACAATGAATGGGACCCCTCCAATCCCACACCAGTAATCAAGCTCTACGAAACATGGGCCTCCTTTCTCCCTCCATTTGTACGCGATAACATACTTGATCAACTTATCCTCCCCAAACTCGCCAAAGCCGTGTCAGAGTGGAACTCCAAACGCAGCTCCGTTTCTCTTCGATCTCTCGTGTTCCCCTGGCTCCCTCACCTTGGTCTGCGCGTCGAAGACGTCCTAGACGATGCACGCAGGAAAATCAAGTCCACTCTCCGTAGCTGGGTAGTTACAGATGGACTTCCCAGAGACCTCGGTGTATGGCGCGACGTTTTCGACAGTGACGATTGGGATGCTCTATTACTGAAATACGTAGTTCCAAAACTAGGGTCTCACCTCCGGGACGAATTCCGCGTAAACCCTCGCGCACAGGATATGGAGCCCCTTACACAAGTGGTGTTTCCATGGTCTCCTCTCCTCCGAGGCTCAATCATGAGCCAACTCCTCGAGACCGAGTTCTTCCCTAAATGGCTCGACGTGCTGTATATCTGGCTTATCCAACCTCGGGTGAGCTTTGAAGAGGTCGCTCAGTGGTATGCATTTTGGAAGGGTGTTTTTGGAGAGGATGTGTCGACTTTGAAGGGTGTCCAGAAGGGATTCACGAGGGGCTTGCAGTTGATGAATGAAGCGATTGAGCTAGGAGCCAATGCGCCAACGAAACTGAAGCGGCCTGACCTCAGGGCCGAGCAGGCTCATGCTGCTGGAGTTGTTGGTGTGACAAGAAAGACAGCGACCAAGAGCAAAGTGTTACCCTCTCGCATGCAAGAAATCACCTTCCGCACTATCGTCGAAGAGTTCGCTGCAGAGCATAATCTGTTGTTCATACCGACTGGGCGTGCACATGAGAAGTCGCGGATGCCATTGTTCAGGGTGTCGGGTGCGAGTGGGAAGGGAGGGATATTAGTGTACGTTCAGGACGATGCGGTGTGGGCTCCGGAAGGGGATGAGTATCGGGCAATCCCTCTGGAGGAGATGGTCGTGAAGGCCAATAAGTAGTTTCTGCAATCCATTGTAATAAGTGCCACCTTTAGGGCCTCGCGATCCATGTCCTCTAGTGGTCGGAGCTCAATGATGAGCTTGAGTGGGATGAGGGGAAGCGCCTGTGGTTACAGTCGTTATTGTTTTGATAACGATACCACGACGTTAACATTGCTTAACGCGTCGAGGCAAGATTGGTGGTCTCTTTGTCACGTGACTAGTGATAATATTTTATGTCTTTTTGGATTTTCGTGTTCTCTCGGACAGTGACTGGTACTGGCACTTACTGGCAATTAATATCGGAAACTAACTGCGATGCTTCCTCGTCACTTGCGTAGTTTCATTGTCGCACAGCGCGCTCGCTCCCTTCCCCTGCGCACACCCACTCCTTTTCCACCCCCATTTCGGATACCTTCCCGTTCACTTCCCGCTTCCCGCTCCTTCCACGCCTCCTCCCGCGCTCAAAACGATGCACCGAAATCTCCCTTCCAAACTTTCGTCGAGGTCCTTCGCGAGGAACTCCGCAAGAACCGGGAATTACAGGATAACGTCAAGCAGCTCCAGGGTGATGTTGACAAATTTCAGGACTCAGAGGCTATGAGGCGTGCTAGGGAGGTCTACGAACGTGCTAGGGTACGCGAACTCCCCTTTTTGACCAAATCAATCCTCCCTGCTAAACTTCCATATTGTAGTTGAGTTCAAGTATAAAAGAAAACCCACGCTTGAGGGCAGCAGCTGACGAACTCATGAAGACCGGTGTCAAGGTCGGTGATGCAGTTTCTGAAGCTCTCAGGACGATGGAGGAGAGCGAGATTATGCGCGCAGTACGTAAATCAATATCTCCCTTGCTCTGCACTAGTTCATCTAAACTCACGCAACATAGATATCCCGTGCGACCAATACTCTCTCATCCACCATCGCCAATACCACCGAACCTATCCGGAATACCGCCGCTTACAAAACGTTGGCAGAAACGCTGGTTGATGCACTTGACGATTCTGGCTCCGCCAAACATGCTGGGTTCGAGGACAAAGAGGCTCGCAGGAAGCGACGCCAAAGACGTCTCGAAAAAGCTGGACTCTCTGATAGACGCGCCGTTGCAGAGAACACTGAGTAAGCTCGATCATACCCACTGCCTTGTTCCTCTTAACAACATCCACTCAGGGCTGGGCAAGCCCTTGTTTCTGTCAAACCTTCTCCACGACAAGAAGCATGGGACAACTTCAAGAGTACCAATCTTATGATGCAACGATTCAGCGCTCTCCATGCCGCGTACCAGGAATCAGAATCTCCGCTTATCACACCCATGCGCGCAGTGACCTCGACGATTGGTTCGTGGTTCGAAGAGAACGAGGTTGCACAAGTAACTCGCATGATGAAAGCCCTTGATTTAAACTTCTCACGCGACGCGTTTGAGAGAGAGTTAAGGGAGTATATCGTGCCCGAAGTCGTTGACGCATACTTATCCGCTGACCGGGAAGCACTTGCAAGATGGTGCTCTGAAGCGGTGAGTGCATGAGTATGTTGTCATCGCAACATGCTGATCGGTCGTAACTGCGAACAGACGTACAACGTGCTGTGGGCAACGATGGAGCAGTATCTTCGCCAAGGACTTGTGAGTGATAGCAAAGTCCTCGACATTCGACAAGTCGATGTAAGTTGTTAGACCTCACTTCGCAGTCCGATTCCTAA